CAAATAATTATTTTAAGTAAACTGTTAATTATAATTTAAATTATAATTAACAATCTGCTAATCGTAAGTATATCAATAACCAATAATTTACGGAAAATATCGAGGAAAAATATATCGACCTAGTATTTTCAATGACGTGTATCGCAATGTGATATGTTTACAGTAGGAAAATTTGTGTTTTCTTGTTAAAAATAGTCCCCGTTAAAATTGTTGTGTTAAATATTTAACACATTCATGTGTTAATTTAACATATTGCTGTTGTGTTAATTGAACTTAAATGTTAAATTATTAAAACAACCGAGAAAAATGTAAAAATAACACAATGTGCATCTATTATTAATAAATATGTTTTGTTTTATTAGCAACAAGATTTATCTATTAATATTTACATTAAAAATATTTAATTTTTATTTTATAATATAAGTGAGGATGATAAAATCTAAAATTAACATATTTTTAGTTAATTTTTACATTAAAACTATATTAATTTTACACAAAATTTATTTTAAATTATTTGAAGTTTTGTATTTATTTTGTGTTAAAATATTAACACAGTATTTGTATCTCCATATCCATATTATGTTAAATTAACACAAAAATTTCTGTGAACCGTTTGAGACAGGTGATATTTAAATTAATTTAACACAAAATTTTCAACTGTCTTAATTAATTTGCGATTAACAAAAAGAATGAAATGACTCTACCAGCATTTTGCGAGCGTCAAGCGAAACATGTCTTAAGACGAAGATTGGCTAGCTAAGTATCGACCCTCTTGCGGTTCGTTAAACGCCTTCACCCTCGGTTTTCTAAATTTAGTCAACTCATTCGATGCCATTCTTTTTATTTACCCCCGAGCGAGTCTACCGTCGGCCTAATCGTGTTAATTTTATACCCGCTGGTTCCTTTGACAGGCGATTCATATATGGATAAAGTCCATCGCACCGTTGCTTCTGATTCTCGCGCCATATCGACAGTGATTAACTCAAGCATAGAGCATAAATGTATAAAATATGTAGATTGTATATATACGGTGCATCAGTCGTCAATTTTTTCTCGAATATTTCATTAATTTTTCTTCCATCTATTTTTATCACAGATATAAAATTACATATATAGACAAGCTGTCATATGCGTAATTTTATATCCTATAATAAATAGATATGAAGAAAAATTCACGAAATATACGAGATGAAAATTGCTTAGACAACGACTTATCTAATACATGTAAAAGAATTAAAGTATGAAATTGCAAGTGACATTTATTGCTGAAACACAATATTTGTTTTATATTAAATAAACATATATATGCATTTATTGCAATTATTGCAAATATTGCAGAAAAGAGTGATCACTATTTATTTGAAAATTTAGTTAAAACAAGATATACATGACGTTAGATTTTTGACGTTTATTAAATTTTTTCTTGCTTCAATATTTATTTTCAACATAATTATTTTTTATAAAAACATGTGCATGTTTATCAAATTAGATTTTTTTCTTGCTTCAATATTTATTTTCAACATAATTATTTTTTATAAAAATATGTGCGTGGTTATCAATTAGGTTTTGCGCGCTATAGAAAACTTAAGAATAAATATTAAATATTGGAAATAGGAATTATTTTAAAATAATAAAAAATCGAAAAAACTTTGATATACTATATAAATACAAATTTAACCCTTTATATTCGAAATTGTATTTTTATATTAAAGTTCTTTTCGATTTTTTTTTATTTTAAAATAATTCTTATTTTAAATATTTAATATTTATTCCTATTTTTTTATATTCATTTAATGGCATCAATAATGCCATCTCGCCATTTTCACGGGTAAATAATAGCTAGACGTCTTGCATCTAACTATTCATGCATCATGATTGTTAGTTAAAAAAGGAAGCGGTAGTTTATTTTGGAGTCGTGTTTATCATTTTGACAAATCTAAATGTTTACACAAGGGAGGCTAAATTTCGAGGTGTCGCACGGAAATATAAAGAGAGAGAAAGAAAAGAAACCTAAAAAAACATTGTTTTCCTACTACATCCTGCTATTTATGCAAACATGTTTTATTTATTCCCTGATTCATATATAGTCCATTATTGTATATAATAATACGTCTCCATATAATAAATAATTAATGATATTGTAAATAATAATATAATATAATTAGATAACTTATAAAACTATTTTCGTTTGTTACTTACCCCAATCAATAATGTAAATACTTAATAATTTAATTTTCGTAATAATTAATAATATAAATATAATTAAATTATAATAATATAATTAATCGAATTATAGCATAAACATGTAGCATTAAAACAAATCGTTCTTGTATTAATATCATTATTAATGATATCTAGAAGAGGTTCAATATATAAATATATTTTTTCTTTAGCTTTTGTCTAGCAGCTATGCGGTTTTAATTGCAAGGAAACAAACATTATTTTGAATAAAGTGAATAAATAATTCAAAGTACGCAATTTGATCCTGTTGAAAAATGCCTCAGCTTAGAAAATTATATATTCACAATAAGTCTTGTATGAAACACATTTATATACTCAGATTGTATATATAAACTTGTTTGTTTTTATACATATATAAAAATACATTAATTTATTCTTATTACTAATATATGTATATGTAACATCCTTTCACTCGATTATTTATTATACGGTCAATTTATTATATATTATAATTAATTTATTATATGGAATAATAATTGGAATTTACATTAGAATAGATATCGTTAATATTGGTATTAACACAAGAAGAATTTGTTTTAATACTACGTGTTTGTGCTAAAATTCAAATAATTATTACTGTTCATTATAAAAATGTTTTAATATTGCATTGAGATGAAAAATATTGATTTAGTTTTTCTATCAAGTTTTGTTTTAGAAAGATTAACTTGATTTAAGATTAAGAAATTGTTTTACATTGAGACCTGCAGAAACGCAGACAGAAATATGTAGAAAGGCCTATGTATACATTAGTAAAAAATAGTGATAAAAAAAACAATCACCTTCTCTTCTTGTCGAAAGAAGAAATGTTTCCAAAGAAAAATCAAATATTTTAATATTTATGAATAGCATTGATTGAATATTCAAAATAATCTATTATATTCTTTATTTCGAGACAAAATATTTATTAAATATTACTTTACTTCATTTTAAATGAACTGAACTTTATATTTAATAAACTTTATTAACTTGCATAAATAAATTTGGAGAAAAGATAAAATTAGCGCATTATAAAAATAGATATAATTTAATCATTAACACGCGTTTCATTAATTTAAATGTGTTATAAAATAGCTATGTAAACATTTCTTATTTTTTATTTATGTTTATAACTTATGCACGTTGAAAAAATCCGAAAAAATATCTATTATGATACACATTCAAAATTAAACACATATATATACAATTTATTTTAATTCATTCATTTCAAGATAATAAACTTGTGATATATACTATATATTTATATTCTTTTAATGTGTAATAAATATAAAAATAAAAAAATTGATAAACATAGATATAAAATAATTTAAGAATAAAAGAAAAATACCGATGCATTTATTATAACAAATTATATATATAATAATTATCAGAGAAAAAAACGTTCTTTCTAATACTTTTATCTTGTATACATATGTATACTTATGTATTACAATATTTATGATATAATTTTCACAAATATATATTATCTTAAATTTTTTAAATATAATTTAGCACTCACCAATTTGATGCGCAACAGCAAGAATTGTAGACAATATTGATCTATAAAATACAAACATATATAATAATATTATAAAACAATTATCAAAATATTTGAATCATTTATAATATTTTAAATCATTTTTTGAAATATTAAAATTAATTTAAATACTACTTTTATATTTCAAAAAATGATTATATTATGCGTATACTTTTTATTCGTACTTTTAGATATTAAAAAACTATGTAATATATAATAAATTTTTCAGGAAAGCTAGAAATGCTTCTAAAAACTATTTAAATTAAATTATAAAATTATATTATTAAATATTTTAATTAAAATACTCAATAAAAGTAAAATCTAGTTATGCATTACATAAATAATTATATTATATATCTTTTAAATATAATACAATATTATATATTGATCAATATAATATAAAAATTGTATTGTATACACATATACAAATATTTGATTTTAAAAATTATATACATATATATGTATATATTGTATATATATATATACATATATATTTATTAAATATTCTAATTATCTCAAAATATAAAATTTCGGGTATTTTGCATTTATTATTACACAGTAATGTAAAATGTGGATCATGGATCAGTAACAGATATATAAATGGATAATCTTACTAGCTGATAACAAATAAAAGGTTAAATATAATTGAAATCATAAATTCTATTTACCCCATCGTTGTTTCGTCGTTGCCCGATGCCTGGGTCTCCTCCTTCTATTGCAAAAACACTCACGTTACTTTATTTATCATAATATGATCGGAAACACACGAACGTCCTTGAAATACACTCGACGACACCGAAAAACCGGGAAAATTTCGCGCCCAATAACACGACTCGCGAACTTTCGGCGGCTCCCGGCTGTTCTCAAGTCAGCTGCTGTGATGTCACGTGATCTTTCGGGAGGCCGAGATATGTCAAGTGAGATACGTCTCGCGCGCGCGATCGCGATCACAATGTTGATATTTACGTCGCGCGATTTTACGATAAACAATTAACGACACAAGGACACTAATTGATATTCAATACTAATTAATATACTTGTAATTTAACGGAGCGGCGACGAGCGCGCAAATCTTGACCGCGAACAACTCGAAAGTGCACCAGGTGGCAGTACACTAGATTGCGTTCGAAAATTTATTCAACTAGGGCGAAGCGCTCTGATCGACCAATCAGGGCGAAGAGATCCTCGGGTTCCGATTGGTCGGGCGAATTCTGTACTTTGACGAACGGATTTCCGAACGCAAGTTTTTTCGATACAATATGGCACTGTTTACAAGTTGCTTTTGATCGAATTGTTTATCCATGAGTAAATTACTTCATTTATTTATTGATGTTGTATGTGTGTGTGATATTTGTATTTGTATTGTTTATATTAATTGGGATATTTTATTTGATGAAACGAGAGCATTATTTCGATTATTACATGAAATGTTTATTATATTACTCTTATCGTGTCGATAAATTTGTAATTGTTAATTGTTTTTTTTTATTTGCATAGATTTTTATAGATAAACTATTTTCTATTTTTTTTTTTTTTTAAGCATAATTTTCTCTTTTACATCTGCTTTAATATTTACCAATGTAATAATGGTTATCTTAATCACTTTTTAAAACTAAATAAATAGCAACATATTGTGTAATTTTATTTTCAGTTGTAACTGACAAATACTTTTGCATAATTAGAATAATAAAAGATCAAATTTTATTTTTTAGGCATTTGTATGGATATACAGATTCCATCAGTTTTTCAACCTAGATGTAAACTCAAGCTTCAAGACACTCTTTTGCATACATTTTTAAGGTGCTCTATTAGTTTCCATGATACATTATACATCATGACAGCGATTCATATATGGTTTTGGAATGACGATGCTGCAGCACTACACAACTTTAGTAAATTTAAAAGGTACTAAAATACATTTAAAAAACGAAATATTGTGTAATTTTACTTTCAATTTTAATTGACAAATACTTTTGTATTAATTAGAATAATTAAGGGATCAAATTTTATTTTGCAGATATTTGTATGGACAGATTTCATCTATGTATGGGCAGATTTCATCAGTTCTTCAAACTGGATGCAAACCAGCTTCAAAATATTTCCTTGCATTTCCAAGGTGTTCCAATAGTTTTTAGTGGTGCATGATACATCATGACAGCAATTCATACATGATTTTGGAATGACGATACTGCAGCATTACACAACTCTAGTAAATTTAAAAGTTTTAAAACACATTAAAAAATATAAAATATTGTGTAATTTTACTTTCAATTTTAACTGACAAATACTTTTGTATTAATTAGAATAATTAAGAGAGCAAATTTTACTTTTCAGGCATTTGTATGGACAGATTCCATCAGTTCTTCAAACTGGATGTAATAAATTCATGTATGGTTTGGAATGATGATGCTGTGGCACTACGTAATTCTTGTAAGTTCAACACTTTCTTTTGAAATACATTGAAAAAACAAAATACTGTGTAATTTTACTTCCAGTTTTAACTGATAAATACTTTTCCATCAATTAGGATAATTAAGAGATCAAATATTACTTTTCAGACATTTAAATGGACAGAGATTCCATCAGTTCTTCATATCAGATGGAAACCAGTTTCAAGATTTTCAAGGTGTTTCATTAGTTTCCACTGGTGCATAATACATTTGTAACAACAATCCATATATGATTTTGGAATGATGATGACATTACATAGCTCTAAAGTAGGTTCAAAAACTTTTGAAACATTTAGAAAGCAAAATATTGTGTAATTTTACTTTCAATTTTAATTAACAAATACTTTTGTACCAATTAAAATAATTAAGAGATCAAATTTTACTTTGCAGGCATTTGTATATATTTGGATAGATGTACAGATTCCATCAGTTCTTCAAACTGGATACAACCCATCTTCAAGACAATTCAATCGGTTCTTCAATTGGATGCAAACCAGCTTCAACACATTTCCTTGCATACATTTCCAAGGTGTTCCGTTAGTTTTTACTAGTGCATAATACATTGTAACAACATTTCATATATGTATGATTTTGGAGTGATGATGCTGTGGCATTATATAACTCTAGTAAGTTCAAAAGCTTCTGAAACATTTAAAAAACAAAATTTTGTGTAATTTTATACTTTCAATTTTAACTGTCAAATACTTTTACATCAATTACAATAATTAAAAGACTAATTTTTTTTTACTTTTTAGGGATTTAAATGGACGCAGATTCCATCAGTTCTTCATACTAGATGGAAACCAGCTTTAAGACACCTCCTTGCATATCTTTCCAAGATATTTCAATAGATAATACATTGTAAGCAATTCATATATGGTTTGGAATGATGATGCTGTGGGGCTACGTAACTCTTGTAAGTTCAAAAGCTTTTGATATACATTTAAAAAGCAAAATACTGTGTAAATTTACTTTCAATTTTAACTGACAAATATTTTTCTATCAATTAGGATAAGAGATCACATTTTACTTTTCAGACATTTAAATGGACACAGATTCCATCAGTTCTTCATACTAAATGGAAACCAGCTTCAAGACATCTCCTTCCATATATTTCCAAAATGTTCCAATAGACAGTACATTGTAATAGCAATTCATATATGGTTTGGAATGACTGCTGTGACACTACATAACTAGTAAGTCTAAAAGTTTTTAAAACAATTTAAAATCAAAATATTGTGTAATTTTACTTTAAATTTTAAGTGACAAATACTTTCAATTAAGAGAGGAAATTTATTTCTCAAGCATTTGTATGGATAGATATGGAATCTATCCATACAAGTTATCAGTTTTTTAAACTGGATGCAAACCAGCTTCAACCAGCTTTGATCTCTTAATTATTTTAATTGATACAAAAATATTTGTCAATTAAAATTGAAAGTAAAATTACATAATATTTTGCTTTCTAAATGTGTTTCAAAAGTTTTTGAACCTACTATAGAGCTATGTAATGCCATCATCATTCCAAAATCATATATGGATTGTTGTTACAATGTATTATGCACATTTCCTTGCACACATTTTCAAGGTGTTCCAATGGTTTCTACTGGTGCATGATACATTGTAACAGCAATCCATATATGGTTTTGGAATAACAATGCCATGGCCCTACATAACTTTAATAAGTCGAAAAGCTTTTAAAATATATTTAAAAAACAAAATATTGTATAATATTACTTTCAATTTTAACTGATAAATACTTTTGCATTTATTAGAATAATAAAAGATCAAATTTTACTTTTCAGGCATTTGTACGGATACCGATTCAATCAGTTCTTTGCCACCAGATGGAAACCAGCTTCAAGACACTTTCTTGCATATATGTATTTCCAAGACGTTCCAAGATGATAGATCATAACAGCAATTTATATATATATATATATATATATATATATATATATATAGTTTGGAATAATGATGCTGTGGCACTACATTACTCTAGTAAATCCAAATGCTTTTGAAGCATATTTAATATTAAGGTGCATCTGAATTGAGCCTCAATCAACCAGGATCAACTTGTCTCTTTGACATTGTGCATAATTTCTTCATCTCAGCTGGTAACTATAATTATATATTTATGAATTAATTTCATAATAATATGCAAACATGAATAATAATATTCATATAATTAATATGCCCTAGTATTCTTTTATCTTATTATTTTTGGACATCTTTTTAATCTTTAATTAATCTTTTTTAATCCATTTTTGCAGACAAACTTAGAACCACAGATAATAGCCGTCAAACTGATGGCTTCGAAACAACGTTACCGAAGCAACAGTCATGAAAGGTGTACATGCAAATAATTAGTTATCTCTATCAATTATTTAATCCGGAAGTGACTATCTTCTCGAGGACATTAGTGTTGCTGCATATAAAAAGAGACAAAGATCCATCCAAAAATATTCATGTCTTTCTAATTTTCGATTTCCTATAAACTAGTAGTATGTAAGCATATATTATGATTATGTTCCGTTTATTTACTGCCAAAGTATATTCTATTTTGTTCGATGCAAAATTAGGAAAATTGTCCTATTTTATATATATTATGTTATAAATTAATGATACTAATGAGAAATTTTCAAGAATATATCATTAGGATAAAATTTATATCATGTAAAATTAGATATTCACTAAGCTCTAGATTTGTATAAATTTATATATAAATAGACTGGATAGATAACAGCTAATAAGCTCTAAATTTATTTCTGTACTTTTCTGTAAATAAAATCAAATTTTATATTGCTAATTTAAAGAGATTTCGAGACACATCTCTAAAATAAATAAATAAATTATATTGATGAAAATAAATGCTGACAAGAAAAAATTAATAAATATCGAGAATCTAACATCGTTTTATGTATCTCATTTTAACTTTAAAGCAATTTTGATACAAATATTTCTGTAAAAAATAAAATTATATTGATGGAAAATGAATGTTAATAAGAAAAAAAATTTAATATAATATCGAAAATCTACTATATATTATGCATCTCATTTCAACTAATTTGTCAAGTAAATTGATATAAATTCCATTTGATATATTGTATATATTTCCTTAAAAATAAATTATTGGTGGAAAATGAACGACAAAAAAACTTAATAAATATTGAAATTTTAACATCGTATTATGTATCTCATTTTAACTTTTCAAAAAAATTAATATATAATTCAATATATTATCAAAGAGATTTTGATACACATATTTCTGCAAAAAATAAATTATATCGATGGAAATTGATAAGAAAAAATTACAATACATCGAGAACCGATTATGTATCTTATTTTGATTAACTTTTCAAGTAAATTAATATAATTTTGATATCATTTCAAATACTCTTATATTAATTTATATAACAAATATTTTAAGTAAAAGTATTACTTGTAATTTCATATTAAAATTTTTGATATGTATCAAATAACTGTCTAATCAATACTCTCATTTGGTATGTTTCATGAAATGTTTATTCACATCTATTTATCGTTAAGTATAAAATTGCGTATGACAATAGACGAATATAAATATATATGTATAAAGTCTCCGAAAATACAAAACTCAATAGCACTGAAATCCAGAGGTTTGTGTAATAATCAAGAAATAGTGCAAGTGACGACAGATTCATATGATAATAATTTATTCAAATATGGTAGAGCGGTTCGCTCTCAATAATAATAATACACTGGATGATATAGGGGCGCGCGTATATAAATTAATAATGGAAAACAAAGATATATACTTATACAGAAAAACATTGAAAAATAAAAAAATTCTTTGCACCGAGTGCGATAAGGACAACTGAAAACGCGCGCGCGCTTCGCGAAAGTTCGAAATAGAGAAATGTTGTAAAAAAAGAAAGATACAAAAGAGGAAATAACGAGACAAGCATGGGTGAAGAAGGGTTTTGTGTTCGCGTTATCGCTCGAAGAATAGGGAAAGGGTGACAGAGAGTATCGCTTTTCTCGCCGCGAGAGTTAACACGTCCTCTTCTCTCTTCTTAATTCTCATCGACCTCGGCTTCCTGCTCTTCGTCGAACTCGGCGTCCTCGTCCGCGGTAGCCTCCTGGTACTGCTGGTACTCGGACACCAGATCGTTCATGTTCGATTCGGCCTCGGTGAACTCCATCTCGTCCATACCCTCGCCGGTGTACCAGTGGAGGAAAGCCTTTCTTCTGAACATAGCGGTGAACTGTTCGGAGATGCGCTTGAACAGCTCCTGGATGGCGGTAGAGTTGCCGATGAACGTGGCAGACATCTTAAGACCGCGTGGTGGGATGTCACAAACAGCTGTTTTGACGTTGTTCGGGATCCATTCGACGAAGTACGAGCTGTTCTTGTTCTGGATGTTGAGCATCTGCTCATCGACCTCCTTCATCGACATCCTACCACGGAAAATCGCGGCGACCGTAAGATACCTGCCGTGCCTGGGGTCGCACGCGGCCATCATGTTCTTCGCGTCGAACATCTGTTGCGTGAGTTCCGGTACGGAGAGCGCTCTGTACTGCTGGCTACCGCGGGACGTGAGAGGTGCGAAGCCGGGCATGAAGAAGTGAAGACGGGGGAAGGGCACCATGTTCACGGCGAGTTTCCTGAGATCGGCGTTCAGCTGTCCTGGGAACCTGAGACAGGTCGTGACGCCGGACATGGTGAGGGAGACGAGGTGGTTCAGATCGCCGTACGTGGGCGTAGACAGTTTCAGGGTGCGGAAGCAGATGTCGTAAAGGGCCTCGTTGTCGATGCAGTAGGTCTCATCGGTGTTCTCCACAAGCTGGTGCACGGAAAGCGTGGCGTTGTACGGCTCGACGACCGTGTCGGATACCTTGGGCGACGGCACGACTGAATACGTATTCATGATCCTATCTGGATACTCCTCGCGGATCTTGGAGATGAGCAGAGTACCCATACCGGAGCCGGTACCACCGCCCAACGAGTGCGTAAGCTGGAATCCCTGGAGACAGTCGCAGCTTTCCGCTTCTTTCCTCACGACGTCGAGGACCGAGTCCACCAATTCAGCGCCCTCGGTGTAATGGCCCTTCGCCCAGTTGTTGCCGGCGCCGCTCTGACCGAAGACGAAGTTGTCCGGTCTGAAGATCTGGCCGAATGGTCCCGAGCGGACGGAGTCCATGGTGCCGGGTTCCAAATCGACGAGGATGGCACGGGGCACGTATTTGCCGCCGGATGCCTCATTGTAATATACGTTGATTCTTTCCAGTTGGAGGTCGGAGTCACCGTGGTAGGTGCCAGTCGGGTCGATGCCATGCTCATCACTGATAATTTCCCAAAACTGCAATACAAAGAAATCGTGTAAGAATAGTTTTATTGATATAGCAAGCGTTATATGACATATTGACATATTTTATCGATTAAAAGGCTCCTTCGTGAAAGGAAAAATGCCACACAACAATTTTCAGCTTGTGTTTTCTCGTCTCTGACGTCACTATCTAATATAGCTGAGTATCAAGAAACCTAATATAAATTCTGTATATTATTAAGTACTCAAATTTTGGACAAATCCCTAAATCTCGATAAAATTTGATGGTTTCTCCCAAAAAATAGACAAATTATGTATACAGTATATAATTTATTTTTTAATTTAATTATTTACAAATTTAATTTTCTATTATTTATTTCAAAGTATTCTTAATAGAATTAAAAATTAACGTATCAAATTAATGTATATCTCAAAATAGCTTCTGAAAAGATTACATTTTTTGACGAGAGGTCTCTATGAACACGATATCAATTAATTATTATTAAATATTGTATAAGAATCTGTATAAATATAAATTCAATGTAAATAAATTCTGTATAAATAATAATTCAATTTAAATGAAGAAATTTTCAGAGAGTCTATTCTGAAACTAGACAAATTTTAACACGCCTTAATTCTCCAAATTCCTATTTTAACATGTTATAGTATTAAAACATTCAAGTTTTGTTTTAAATTTTATCCATTGTAATGGACAATCGCGAGATGCTCGATCAAGGAAATACATGCGCATATTTCCTTCGTTTAGCAAGAGTTATCCGTGCCGGAACCAATCGGCGCCGCCTCAAAAATTAGATACGCGTTCCGACTCTCGCATCATCATCTGCGCGCATGCGCGCGAGAGAAGGAAGTTTTCACCGCAATGTTTTCTCTCTCCGCAATTATCCTCGCATCCGTTTCCAGCCTTCCATTGTATCAAGCGTTAACGGAGCCGGTTCAACGACCTTCCGCGGCGAATAGCTCGCGTGTAATTAATCGTAATACATCCGAGAAGTCTGCACACACGGCGAAATATCCTCCTTTTTTTCTCTCTGTCTCTTCTTTAGAGCAAGGCTTCTGATCGAATTGCCCGAGCGATAATAGGGACTAATTAGCCCGGTAGTAACCGTAAACGCAGATTCGTTTGCATCTATCGGAGCCGGTTGGTCGATCGACACGTCGAAGAAGCTCATCGCTATGCGACGATCACTCGTACCATGTAATCTTCGCGGAAGCGCTTGTTCCGTCACGGTAATTGCCTGTAATCGCTCGTTTTCATACTGAAATGTCAATCGTAAAATGCCTCAATTTTATAATAAAGTGATGCGATAAAGATTTCTTTATTTAAACTGAATTTGTATTTATACAGATCCCCATACAACATTTAATTGATACCGTGCTCGTAGAGACACCTCTCGTCAAAATTTTTAAATTATATTAAGAAATTAAAAAAAGTAATAAATAAAGAATAGAAAATATTTTTAATTAAATATTAATTCTTTAGTTAATTTTAAATTTACATTAGTGATACTTTGAAAGAAAAATTAATAAAATTAATTAAATTAATAAATTAAAATAAATTAAAATAATTAAAAAATAAAATTAATAAATAATAAAAAATACAAAAATATTTTGAAATAAATATTAATTCTTTAGAACATTAGTTAATTTTGAAATTATATTAATAAAAATACTTTGAAAGAAAAATTAATAAAAAATAAAATTAATAAATTAAAATAGTAAATTAAAAATAAATCAATAAAAAATAAAATTAATAAATAATAAAGAAAAAAAAAAATATTTTGAAGTGAATATTAATTTTTTAGAATATTGATTTCTAGTCGAAAACTAAATACGAAGAGGCGATTACGAGGATCTCCATGCGCGAAGGAGAGAAGAAACTGGGCGTATCTGCTTGTAACATTATATTTGCAAACAAAAGGGAACGCTAATTACGAAATCGCCGCGTGCGGTCCCCGATGTACGTATCTCCTCTCTATTCCATCCTGGTGTGGTTCAAAGACCCCGTGGTATATTTCTGGAAATCGACGTGCGAAAGAGGCAACGCGTGCATCTTCAAGTACAAAAGAGCGTGCAGAGATAACAGATGTAGCTAGACTAAGTGTAATTATATCGCTTAAGCTATATAATGTAATCTTATTGTAGGTACAGGAATACACCTCTCATCGCGCGATTATAACGGAAAGACATATGACAAGGTACTAAATTATGCATCATTCTCCTGAAATCTCACAACAGAGTCGACACTCTGTTGCGGAAATCTGTAATTCCCGACAATTTGTCCATGTCTAATTATTAAAAGGGGCACGCGCGCGATAAGACGAAAGAGATTTCACTTCGTTTTGCAATTTTAATTAAGCGTGTACTTTGTATCATAAAATAAGCAATCTCGATTATAAAGATATATCTTTAGCTAATCATGCGTTTAAAAAAATTATGTCCGTATTTATATTTTCTTTTTTTAAAAAATTATATTATAAAATTACTTATATTATTAAACTATATAAATAAATTAACAAAAATGTAATAAAATAATTTTGATAAATTATATAAATTATTACTCAATTACATAAATAAATTGTGTTTCATTATTTAGTAATTAAATAATGATTTTACAAAATTATACTTAATTAAAAAAAGAGTATACATATCACGACCGCAGACGGATGAAAAAAATCAAATCGCTAAAATGTTTTCTATCGCTGTCGGCGAGACTTTCCTCTCGCTCAAAGATATCATCGATTAATCTGCAGAAGTCCATATACGACACGCGTGAAAGTCAGCGTAAAACCGTCAAAGTCCGCCTACCATTCGATACCTACACGTCCCACGTGAAAACGATGGGTGTATTTAAGCGGTGACCATATATGAGCATCGTCGACGAAAGCTAAGAGATCTCTTCCCTCTTTTCCTCTCGACTGCGATATATGTACGTACATATATATGTTACAGATACATGAGTCACCAATGTCACTGCTATATATAGAGATGATGACCGTAAAACCACGATACGGTCATGCAATTAACATTAAGCGATCGCACGATTATGCACCGAGTTTGCCCTCATTTTCCTTCCTTCGTCGATTTCTCTCGAGTCAGTCCTCGCCGAAATTTTCGTTTTCTCTCGTTCCTTCTCAGACGTCAGAGGCAGATTGCTATCGGAAGCCAGCGGAAATCGTATTGTTATTCTAAATGCATATCCACGCCGTATATGCGACGTTGCACTTAAGTTAAGCGTTGCATAACCGCCGAGCGGACATAAATGCAATTGTTCTATGAACGAGTCCGAGGGTGCCTTTTCATGAATCACCGTTTGACAGAACAGATTTGGAGCCAGAATTGTCTTAAAAAATGCGTCTGAGGAGAAAAAAATATCAATTAGACAATCTGAAAATTAACTATTGCGTGTTCTAAAAATAAAATAAAAAAAGACTAATTATGTTTATAATATTGTTTAATTATATTTTTTATTTTACATCATATTTTTTAGAAATTGTCAGAAATATTTTATATTTTTCTCTTTCGAGGATTGGACGAGAAAATGTCTTTAATGAATTTAAATAAAGACATGCAGAAGAGATTTGTAGCTAGAAAAATTGTCTATTACATATCCTAAAAATAAAATAAATTTAAAAAGAGATTAATTGTGCTGTTTTTAATATTGTTTCATTATATTTTTAGAAATTGTCAAAAATATTTTTATATTTTTTCTCTCTTTCAAGGATTCGACAGGAAAATGTCTAATGAATTCAAATGTTGAATGAGCTCATACATTATATTGCGAGCTGTTGATAAGTCTTTAAATGCGATAAAACAATCTGACTTTTAATATAGGAAATGAGAACTGTTAGAGGGACCGTTACGAAATGCTACGATGATCCTATGATAAATTAATTTTAATGGCATAAAATATAGTTATCGGTTAATATAAAGTATTAATATTTTTTAAACAAATTTTAAATACACGTAAACAATTAATCCCCTATCTCATAAAAAATGTATTCGTATAAATATACGAATGCATTGCAAATGGAAATAATTAACTGTAATTAAGCATCCTGTTTCAATGTAAAGTGGAATATTTTCAATTTAATTAAAATTAATAATCAACGCGATATAAATAGATCATAAAGCTTCGAAAATGAAGAACGCAAATTGCCCGCACTGACTGGAAAATAGATCCTACTCATAAATTCTTCCTGCTAACGAGCCCGATCTTGAAATGGCGATATTACTCTATATGAAAAGTATTTAAAACCGATAACACATGTTAAAAAAATAAAATAGCAATATTACTAGTAAACTTTTATACTAAAATAATCGATATATCGTCGGTAAAAAAAAAAAAAAAAAAAAAAATATATTTTCCAAAGGACTTCATAAATTCATGAAAATTCATCTTCGTCCTTAAATTGCATTTAATTTTTATGATAAATGATTATCTGAATTTTCGTCGCGCAAAACGACGAACGTCATCGAGTCGCATCGCGGCAGACGAAATTCAGCCTTAGGAAACCGAGCGCGATCGATACACCTGGCTATATCCAGCGAGAGGGTCGACAACGAGCGAAACGGTTCGAAACAGGCCGAGGTGATGCGAAGGAAAATGGCGAGAGGATATCGCCGCCGGCTTCCTTTATTTGGGAACGCGTTGCCGCGCTACGCGAGACTCGGTGTCCTTGGACTCGAAGGCGTCGCTGAATGGACATTCGAATAATCGTTACACAACGAGTTCGTCTAGGAGAATTTATTTACAACCCGCGCTCCAGCTTTTTATCCTTAAAAGAAAAAAATATTCATTAATCGCGATGATTTTCAGTTATTGCAGATATCATGCAAGCATCTTTTAAATAAATTAAAATGTATGGAAAATATATATTTGTATTTTTTAATTTTTTTATTACTAAATTAAAATTTATTATAAAATTTAAAATAATAAAACTTAATATATATTGATTTTTAGTTACCAGAGATATTATACAATCGTCTTAAATAAATTTAAATATATTTGTATTTTTTAAATTTATATATTTTCTTTTAATTAACGACAGCTTTGTTAATGTATTTTGATGAGTAAAGGGTATGTCTATGTATATTACTAAATTAAAATTTATTATAAAATAATGAAACTTAATGTATCTTGATTATGACTGTCTCCTTTAATTTCTAGAAAAAAAAAATTGAGTCTTGTTTTGGCGATTTTTAAAGTTACACTTTTTATCGATTTCGCTATCACTTAGATTAACACAGCTTCCTTAAAGATAATTCAGTTATATATCACAAACAATATTTAGATAAAAATGCTTCGCACAGAATTAATAATGCAACGATTTATATATATATCCAATTATATATATATATATATATTTTATATATATATATATATATATATATAAATAAATAAAAAAAATCTTGTCAAGAATTAAATTCGTTGTTACGTCGTCGTTATTACTCTAACAAACTTTCTACAAAAAGTAAAATAGTTAATGTTAATATGGTATCAAATTAATTGTGAGTTAGTTCGAGAAACGGACATTGACTTGGCGTCAGCAGCCTTAAAATTACAGGAGCATGACGGCGAACGTTGATCAGTTTCTCTGCCCGCGATCTTTTACCATTTTCATGTAATCTTGTAAATTATTCACAGACTGTTTGAGTAGGAATAGCGTCTTATAAAATAAAAAAAATCTTTCAAGATTTATATTATCCTAAATAAAATAAAAGCAGAACGCACTTAATATCGTAAGATTAAAATTTTGAACATTTTCTTATAACCTAAAAAATTTTCCTTGTGCCATAAAATAATTTTTTCAAATAAAAATCGAATTATCGATACAACTCTTATATTTCTTCATTAAATTCTTTATACATGATGATAATAACAATCGTGTACATCGATAAATTAATAAATAAATAAAAAATATATAAAATAAAGGAATACTATAAAAAAAGGAGAAAATGCCGATTCGCATGATTAACAAGATAGATTCGCGATAACGTATATGATCGCGTCCGTTAACGGCGTCGTATAAAAATTTTAAAATACCGCCATTATGCGACGAACGCGTAGCCGTTAGCGCGATCCCGACATACGTAGCGTAGGAATTCCATCTGCTTTAAGGGACGTGCACACCGCCCAGACACTAATTGTATTCGTTCCCGATGCAGTTATATAATCAAATATTCAATCTCATCAATCTCGATCTCGTAATAACATTTCGCCCGATTAAAATTATGCGACACGAGTATCAACATATTTTACGTCAATTAATCAATATTGGTTATTTGTCGCTCGGTGTGTACTCGCCTTTAGCGACATGCAAGTGTGAAGTGACGCGAGACGTAGAAAAAGACGGCGAGAAATGTTGTGAAAAAAAGATAAACAGGAAAAATACGACGATTTCATTCCGTGTATATTAAATACAATAAAGCAGAATATATAAAATCAAATGACGTGGGACAAGAGAGAAGAGATGCGCGCGCAGCCGGTCGATATCGCCGAGCAAAACCGATGATCTCTTGTCGCCAAGAGAGATATGCCACACCCAGGAGAGGCTCGGTGTCCCAAATGACAGATAATTTCGCAGAATACTCTCGTCGTCTATTCCTCCAGATTTTCGCGTTTTTCGACGGACGCAGAGCAGTCTCGAATGTTACGAGGAAGGCGAGAAAAAACAACACGGCGCAGAGGGAAGATGGCCGCCAGGAACGCGGCGAAAGAAAAAGAATAGAGGGGAAAAAAATCCGTTAGGCGGGTTGCGCCGGCCGGCCGGCGAGCTCTTGTCGCCATGACAGGTCTTCGACCGCCGAGCGGGCGAGGCTCCACGGATACTTCCTCGAAATATATATCGCTTCGAAGTCGCGAATCAACGAAGAATCGACGGTCTGAAGGCCTCGCTTTTTCGCGAGGCGAAACACACTTTCCAGGATGACGTCACTCTACCACCGCGATCGATCTCGAGACAACCTCAGATAATTTCAGACGAGTATCTTCCCTTGCCTACTTCGCGAACAAAGGAACACGTGTGAATTTGCCTATTTACCTTCGCTCCAATCTGGTTACCGCACTGACCGGCCTGGATATGGACGATTTCCCTCATGTTGGCTCTTTATCGGACACGGTTGACTTCTTGATAGAAGGAGTATACCCTGGGTACGGATCGAACTGACTCGACGTTTACAGACCAACGCGTCGCGAGAGTCCAAAGACGAGTATGCAGCGGTTGCGGTGTCCGTTACAGATTTTCAAGCCTCGCGAGCGGCGGGGGAAGGACGAGAAGGGCGAGGCGCGAGGGGAGCGAAGAGGAGCGCGCAGCCGATTGGCGGAGCCGCCCGAGTGACGCGACGCGCCGCCGCGTCGCCGACTCTGCGCGGGGCCAGCGCGCATGCGCGCGATCCTCGCGTGCCGCCGAGATGACGGCTTCGATTTGGCGAATTTCAAGAGGAACCGCTACGACGCCAGATGTCAGGCTCGGCGCTAAGTCGCACGGGGCCCCGCGCGACAACTTTTTTTCAATAAAATATTCTTTCTAATTAACTGCAATGAAAGTTAAATGCAGAAGTATCTTGATTTCGTCGAAAAGGTGTATTTCCTTTTTATTAATTATTAATGTGGTTTAATATGTTATGTTAGGTTAATGATATCTCGCATTATATAGTCACTTGATAATTTTTAAATTCTTTATATATAATGATAATAATAATCGTGTACATCAATAAATAAATAAATATAATTAAATGAAAAAAATAAAAATAAATGAATAGTATAAAAATAAAAATAAAAATTAATAAATGAGAAGTTATGTCTACTTTTCTAATGATTGGATAATGATAATTCTGGTAATATCTTTTTCTCTCTCTTTTTCTCATTTATACAATAAAACCTTTCATTGATCATGGTTCTCGACAAACACGCCTCACCAGCGCAAATAGATATGTATGTGATCATTATACAATATTTGTGTTTTCGATGTAACAAAAAAATCATTAAATTGACTTTTATTCATATACGACATTTCAATCGTTCTTTCATATATCGCCAATTATAGAATAAAAAGATTTTTTAATTAGAAGATTCAGTTTTAATTAAAAAAATAATAAATAATAATTAAAAATAAAAATATTGTGGAATTATACATAATTTTATTGTTATATGTATGTTTAATTTATAAAATTAACAATATTAAAATTTTTATAAAATTTTACAAAATAATTATTTTGTATTACTTAGTGTTTGCGAATGTATAATTTATTTTTAAATCTCGCATTAACTACAATATATTACAAATTTATAAATAAAAATTCTAAAAAATTGTGTCGATATAATTAAAATTTTTGTATAACGTCACAAAGATTGTAGAATAAAAAAGTACGTATAACTTACAATATTAAAATTTTGGTAAAATTTTACAAAATAATTATTTTATATTAGTTTGCAAATGTACAATAAGTTATTTGTAAATTTCGTATTAATCAGTTAATAAATCTACGATATTCTAAATTCATGAAAAAAATCCTAAAAAAATGTGACGATATAAAATTTTTGTATAACACGTCACGAAGATTATAAATTTTCTAATGCTGGAATTTTGACCGTTAATTTTAAATTCTGGAGCCCTAAATATCCCGAAAGGGCACCGGTCCTGATACATAAATGTAGGTAAAGCTAGGTTTCTCCATCTCTTTAAAGGGAGAACTATCAAGATGAAGGAGAACAACCGTTCGATCGAATGTTACTATGATCGTTCGATACAAGACGTCAATAATTTTGCCTCGCACAGCGCGAGAAACGCTTTGTTCCAGATATACCATCTGACATTTTGTTACGCCGAGGTTTCCGGACGTGCATCTCTCGCGAGATGCGCGCGTTTGCAAGCGTATATCGATTCGCAGGCGTGGCCTGCAAACTGCACGAATGCAGATGCAGATGCAGAATGCTCTCCACGAACGCTTCGATTCGTGACTCTTCTCAAAAAGGTGACATATTTATATTTATGGAGGTTTTGGACCTTTAAATCATATACACATATACAGGGTGATTCATTTTAATCGCTCTAGGAAAATATTTCGAAAACTATGAGAGAGATACGAAAAATAAATGTTTATTCAAACAAAAGTTTTTTACTTCGAGAGGGACATAAGATGGTATCATTGCGGTTTGACCTTGTACAATCATTTGAAGGTCACGTGAACGTCATCTTCAATTTCTTAAATAGAACCTACTATTTAAAAATAGGTTAAAAAATAGGAGGTTCCATTTAAAAATTGAAGGTGACCTTACATGACCTTCCAATAATTATACAAGGTTAAATCAATGACACTATCTTATGTCTCCCTTGAAGTCAAAAACTTTGTTTAAAATATTTTTTCGTATCTTTCATAGTTTTCGAAATATTCATTAAAATGAATCACCCTGTAAATAGTTCAGTTGTCTTCATATCTATTCCTAGGAGATTTTTTAATTAAAAACAAAATGTAGCCATGATTATACGCGATTTTGAAGGAATGCATTTTAATTATACGGCCCTTTAATAATTAATCTTCATTGATTAATTCTTTGATCCTTGTAGGATAATTTCGGCGCATTATTTCGCGAATATTTTTAATAAAAAAAATAATAAATTATAATAAATAATTATTATATATATATATATTTATTTAAAAAATGTATTATAATATAAATGTATAAATCATATAATAAAATATTAAATATATTTTTATATTCGTATTATTATATTTTTCTAACGTTTTGTATATAGATAGCAGAAGAAATTTACAGTTAAAAGTGTCTTTTCGCGAAAATGCAGATTTGTTGGGAAGCAGTATTGTATTCGTTTCACGGTTATATTTATGTGATATTACATTATCTTAACGGCAATCTCCTGTCTTGTTATTTCTACGTAAGATCCGTTGGCGCGCCATATGTAACGCCTCCTCAAAAACGCCTCAAGTACAAATCCTGTTAAGAGAAGATTAGGTTGCATTACGTGTACTACGTACTATACGTGTGTATGTACGATGAGCGTGTATAATCATACACGTAATTACATAAATAGCATGAAAAAGTCCATTCATAAAAACGGTGCTGAAAAGACGCTATAAACAGAATTTCTCATAAATTATATTACAATTATTAATAATTATTAATACGAAATATAGAAATAATAAAAATACACCTGTCAATTTAGATTCAAACCCAGTAAGCAAAAATCATTGCTATTATTGTTGTCAAGTATGTCGTTTTTAACATTGTATGCAATATCATTATGAACAAACTTTGACATCAATTTAGAGGTTTCGGTAATGTTGAAATTAACGTTTTTAAAATATTTTATTAATATTTTGAGAGCTATACGTTATTAAATAATATTTTTAAAACATTTATAAAACATCAATTAACATTTTTTAAAATATTTATTAATAATATTTTAAACATATTTATAAAACATTATATCGTAACGTTTAGAAAATTTATATAAAATGAACATTTTAAAATGTTGATTAAATATTTCTTGCTTACTGGGAATTCAAACAATTTTCAGGAATCATCTATGTTTTTCTCCTATCAACTATAATATTTAAATTATTTTTAATTTTTAATATATATTATTTGCACAAGTTATTTATTTCTTATTTTTGGAATTTACATATATGACAAATAATTTTGATATCGTAAAAATTTTTCGTGCGTCATTTAAGCTTTTATATGATAAGAGACTTATAATTACGTGCATTTAGATGAACATTAATGGTTCGTTCATTAAAAACGATGAGTCAACCATATACGTGACGTTTTTCTAATCATTCTGTTATACATATTGAAATTGAGGCAATTTGCATAATGTGTAGTAGAAAATAACAAATGCGCAAAAGGCAAAATTTATATAAGTGTAAGATAAGAATTTCGGATTATTTTTTTTTTCAATTAAAACACAAACTCGGTAATAAAATATATACCAAATTAGAAAATAGCAAATTAAGTTTCTAATGCAGAAACAAGCCGTCTAAGAAATAAGATGGGGCATTAATATTCATAATATTTTTATTTCATTTTATCTTCATTATTCTGAGATATTTCATTTATAAAGTGTGAAACTTTGAAATAGAGTATACACACACACCTACATATATATACATATATATCCCATACAGCACAGATTATTGCAATTATATTGCAGCAACGTTGCAATGTTGCAAGTTGCAATGCAACATTATAAAGACATTGCAGAGATATAGGTGCACAAAATTCCAGCACACTTGTAGCAACATGACATTAATATTTCGGAAATATTGCATGTAATCCAAATTCTATAATTTATATATTGTAATATATATACATATACCCAGCAAACACCAAGTTACAGCTATATAATTGTTAGTTGTAATTTCCCACTCAAGAATATAATACGTGTATTATAACAATTATATTGTTGAGTGGAAAATTACAACTAACAATTATATTAACTGTAACTTGGTATTTGCTGGGTATAATACAATAATAAAATAATTTTTGCAATATTGTACAATAAAAGATGTTAACGATAATCAATAATTTTATTATCTTCCAAAAAGCGAACATTTTAACATTGCTGCAATTCAACAGCAATGATGTAGCAACATTTTGCAGTGAATTTGCAATATTGCAATATTGCGGTGAAAGATTGTTGTAATGTTTTTGCAATCTAACGGTGCTGTATGGGATGTGACAATCTACCCATACAGCACAACAAGATTGCAGCAGCATTGTGGCAATATTTCATTGCTATATTACAACATTGCATAAACATTGTGAAATGTTGCAGCAATTTTGCTGCAAGATTGCACGGCAAAATGTCCGCTTTTAGAAATATTGTTCTATAACATTGCAGCAATAATGCAATAAAATATATATGTAATATTACTATATGTATATTATGTAATACTACCTAATATTTTTTGTGTAAATTTTATTTTCATAATATTTCTAAAACGTTGCTGCAACGTTGTATAAACTATACATTGCAAATTCATGCCTATATAATATTTCTGCAATATTGCTATGCAATGTACAATATGGTAATGTTGTTGCAATATTGCTGCAAACTTGTGTGCTGTATGGGTAAGGTCATAACGTGTTTATATTACGAAAGAATTATAATTGCATGAATTCCAATATGCAAAATCGAAGGCTGATACATTATTTTACAACATCAACAAGTCTTATTTACATCGACAACGCAGACTCTTTCGTTCTGTCACTTA